CCCTACAAAACTGCCCCAACGAGGGCCCAGGCCACATTCCAGATGAGCAAGCATTTCTGGCGGATCCGTTTGGCCCACGAGTGACTGAGCTTCCAAAGGGGGCCATCTAACACTTCCCTCTGCACGGTGCATGGCTTCAGGCTTCTGCCCATCCTGCCCCACCCAATGACCTGTCTCTGACTTTGAAAAGGGTCTCAGTGATGACCTCAGTGGACGACTCACTCCCCTCTGCTGTGTGTCTCCCATCAGGCCCAGTAAAGGTAAGTGTACAGACTGGTAAGAATTTCTCCAAAGGGCCCCTGCCCTGGAAAGGAACGTGGGCGTGGGGTGGGGGGTAGGAGGGACACAAGGACTGGGAGGTGGGGACGTGCAACTTGATGGAGCAGAGGGGAGACCTGCCGGGAGGCTGGCTCTATCCCTATTCCATATCCTGTACAATCAAGCCCAGCAGCTTCCCCGTCCCCACCCTGCCCACACACCCCACCTCCACTTCACCCCCATCCCCGCCCCTACAAGACCAGCTTCGGCCTTTCCTTCTTTCCTGATATTGCACGAGGATGCAGTCATCCACCTGTCATGAGGCTGGGAAGCTCCGAGTGTCCTTGACTCCTCCCTCTCCCTTGTCCTTGCCCCATCCAAGGCCAGTCCATTCTAATTCGCAGCTCTAAATCAGGCCTGTGTGATCTCCCTCCTGAGCTGCTGGCTGACACCTCCTAACTACCTCCAATTTCACATCTCTCCATTCCACCCTTCCGGCTGCCAGCTGCCCTGCACCCATGTGTATCTCCCTTTTCGTGCCCCCTGCCCCTCAGTGCCTTCAGTGGCACCCCTCCCCATTTGCTATGGTAAAGCTCCCTGCTTAGACTTGCAGGCAGGCCTGGGGGAGAACTTGCTTCCTTACAGAAACATGAACTTAACACCGTCTGCCCACCGGGCTGTTCCACCATCTGAAATCCCCTCCCCATCACCTATCCTATTATCTTCAAGGTCCAGCTCAAAGGCCACCCCCTCTTTCCTCTCCACCACCCTGGCACCTTTAAGAGAGTACTTTTAAAACTCTTCTCGGTGTTAAACTAATCCAATTAGCCTCAGGAGCAAGGATTGTGGTGTTGGGTCTTGAATGCTAGTTGGCATCCCCCCCCCCCCTGCCGCCAGCTCCTACCACATGGTTTGGGAACCAACACCCTCTGCTCCCATATCAGTAGTTCACCCCCCCCCCCCCCCTCCCGCCAGCTCCTACCACATGGTTTGGGAACCAACACCCTCTGCTCCCATATCAGTAGTTCACAGAGGCCTCGGCTTCCCCTTAGAGGTTAAGTAAAATAAAAATAAAATTTTTTGACAGTACTCTATAGTTTAAAAGTCTTTTCCTTTGTCTTTGGGTGACTCACTCCATCATCACAACAACCCGCGAGGGGGGATCCACAGTCTCACTTCAGTGATGAGAAAGCCTAGCCCTAAAGCGAGGAGGCCCATAGGTGCACAGTGGTGGAGACCAGAGACGGTTTCCTGATTGAAAGCTTGCCCAGGCCACAGGTCTAGCTAGTTAGAAGAGACCTGGCCCAGGATAAAGAACGGGTGAGCGGGGAAGGGGCCTGCTTTGGTTCTATATGGGCAGGGCCTATTCCGGAAGCCAAGGGCTACCAGAGAGATGGGCAGCAACCTTAAGGGAAGGCTCACAGAGGAGGTATAGGGAACTCGGACAACTCACCAAGAATTAGTTATAAGGAGCTTCTGTGGCTCAGATGGCTAAGTGGTGAAAGCAGAGAGGAGGGACCAGATGTTATCTGGGTTCAGGGCAACAGCCCCATACCCACACCCAGACCCTCTGTGAGCATGTGAAGTGTGAAGGGACTGGGAACGTCTGTGACCCAGAACAAGATGGGAGGAGGAGACGTCCCGACACCAGGGTGGCCCTGGGAGGTTACCATGGCAAGAGCCCACCAATCCAGCATGTCCCTGGGCCCAGCAGAGAGGGCAGAGGAGTGGTTCTCAAAAGGAACACATGCCTCTGACCCTCAAGGAGCTTATGGCGTGTTGCAGGCCTGAAGGTGACCACCACCGCACTCTAGCCGCCACCCCCATGCCCCCATTCACCAGGATGGGTGGGAGTGAAAGGCAGGAGGGAAAAGCCGGGGCCTGGAGGAGCTGGGGAGGCAGGAAGAGACGGAGAAGATCCTGGAGGAGGTAAGGGCTGGAGGGGGCAGTGGTGAGAGAAGGCTGAGCTGAGGGCAATGGGAAAGGGGGTGAGGCTGAAGAATGAAGGGCAGGGATGGGAGGGAGGAACAGCAGGTTGGGGGACAGCAGGGAAATAAGTTTGGGGAACTGGCCAAAGGAAGCAGAATTTTTCCATTTGGGAGGGAAAGGCCCAAGAGGACCCGCTGGGCCGCAACTCCAGTGATTCCCCGAAGGCACCCCAGAGCTGAGCTCTTAGCTGGGGAAGTTCCCAGAGGAAAGGGCAGAAGAGCCAAGTGCTTAAAATACCAAGTGCTTAAATTGGAAGGGCCCAGACCAGACCCTGGAGGCCAAGCCGGGCCGTGTGGCAGAGTCCAGGGGGTCTACACACAGGCTCTCCCCGCCCCTGCATGGCCAGGAGCTGTCCCCCGGCCATGTGGGAAGGAGGGAGCACTGTCCCCCAGCTCCAGCCTCCCTTGGCTCATCTCCACATACTGGGCCTATCACCAGAGAGCATCCTATGATCTGGGACTTGGGGTCCCCCCACTTTACCAGTGCTGCTGTGGGTGCATGGGTGTGACGGAGAGGGTAGCCTCATGGCCTGTGATGGGCATGAGGATCACCGAGACAGGGTAACCAGAATGGCCAGTGTCCCTGGTGTCCTGGCCCCTCCCCAACATACCCCTTGGGTTCATAGCTTTTTCTTCCTGATTCAGCAGTGTCAGAAACCTCCAGCTCAGCATATCTACTTCCTGAGTGGCTAAGAAAGAGGAGGGGGCTTGGGGGAACTTCCTAGCGTCCCTGAGAGTTCGTTATGCAAATGAAGGAAATGGGCCCTAGAAATGAAACTGAGAAGCCCCAAGCAGCCCACACCCTCTGGGAACCCAGGGGGCCAGTTTGTGTCCCCTCCCCTGAGCACAGCCCCCTCCCAGGACACGGAATACTAAGGCCTAGCCTGAATCCAGGCAGCATAAATTTTGAGCACCTGCAGAAGGTGAGCAATGTGAACCGAGTAAAATCGGCCTGCTCATGTGGACAATGTTCCACAAAGCCAGGATGCCAAATCCAGACCCTGGCCCCGGGCCAACCTGTACTTGCTCCTTCTGACCCTCTCTCCAGAAATAGAAGCCTCCTTTCCTAAAGCCCCCTTTCACTGACCCTCTGCCTTGGAGGAAGTTCTTCCTTAGGTCTGACTGCAGTCCCTCATGCTGCAGAAAGCAGGCTCCACTGGACTATAAACTCGTTAACACGCCTCTGTATTCTCAGTGCCTCACTGCCTCTGGTACACAATAGACTGCAAATGTTTGCTGAATGAGTGGACCTCATTCCATGCCCAGCCAGCCCCACCCCACCCCACAGCTGAATTAAATGAGCTAATACACTTAAAGCCCTTTAACAGTGAGTGGGCCATCAGTCGTAGTGTTACAGAAGCACTTGCTTCCCTTACAGACCCCTTCTGGGCAGGGCCCCTCAGCTTTACTAACACACTCCTCTGACCTGGCCTGAAGTCACACCATCATTCTGTCCCCTACACTCCCAAGGTGCTTTCCAGGCCAATCAAGAATCCCAGTCAGGAAGGACTTCCTAAAGAGAAGCCCAGAGGAATCTGGGTCTTCCTGGGAGAGCTAGCCAGAGAGACGGCCCAAGTCAGTGGAGTGGTGGGGGTCCAAGATCTGGGGTACTAAAGTAGTGAGGGAGGTGATGTCTGGAGCAAATGTGGAGCCGAGGCACCACCCAGTGTTTCCCTCACCTCCCCAATCCTGGGGGAGGTGCGGGGGTGGGTCGGGGGTCCCCTTCTCCTCCCTCCTCCACACCCTGAAGGGAGTGAAATCACTTTTGAGTGCCAAATACAAGACAGGTATCTGGTTTACACTGCTTTATTTAATCTCCTCTCCAGCCCCTCAGTCCCCTTTTTTGAGGGTTAGAAACCCAAGGCTCCCAGGGATTAACTTGCCCAAAATCACTCAAACTGGATTTGAGCCCGAGGCTCAGACTCCAAAACCCATTCGCATATTTCTACATCTCCCAGGGGTGCAGCCAAGGCAGCTGTGAGCAAAATGGGGAGCTCCAGCCCAAGAGGGCCTGAGGTTTGCTGCAAGGGTGAGGTGACTGGGAGAGGAGTATATGGGAGAAGGTGAGCACCAGTGCCTACAAGGCGGTGGGTGTGGTTGTCCCTTGTGCTTAGAAACAGACCCAAGTGACAGAGCCTCCACCCAATGTCGCAGCTCCAACAGCATTTTATTGGGATCTGAGTCTACAGTTCACGTGGGGAGGTGAGCAGCAAGGTTTAAAAGGGGGTTTTACACCCCTGGGGACAGCTCCTTCCAAATCTAACAAAACACCAGGGGAAGCCCTCATGCTGGGCCCCCAGCCAGCCAGGCTAGTCAAATCCCAGGGGGCCCGGGTCAGTGCGTGCAGCCAAGGGGCCCACTCCCCCCCTTCCCCTCCCCTCCCCGACACACACACACACACACACGCACACACACACACACGCACGGAGGAAAGCTCTCTGGCTTCAGAATTAGAATTGCCCCCATCCCCCCTACCTCCACCCCACCCCCAAAAAAACAGGCTTCTCTCCCCTCCCCGCTTCACACTGGCGTGACACAATCAGGCTGCAAGGGTCACGGCCCAGGGTCCTGAGCATTTGCATACATTTGCATAGATAGCAAGGCAGGTCCAGCTAAGACCTTTTTCTAGCAAAAGTGGTTTCAGTTTGGGGCTGGGTGATTTCCGCTCTCCTCGGTGAAGGATATCCAAGGACACCAAACGAGCCAAGGGAGGTGGCAGTTTAACGGTTCCCAGGGGACAGACAGCACGGGGCCTCAGCCCTGGCGCTGGTGGCTGTGTTCCTCCCTGGGCCCCACAACTCTGGGGTTCCGCCAGTGTTTCTCCTTCCCAGACCTGTGGAGAGGCATGGGGGGTGAGGTGGGCATTAAGAGGCCTTTAGACAACAACACCACATCCACATGATGAGAAGGCGCTCCCTGAGGAGAGGGGACCCTGTTCCTCTTAAGACAGGCGACACAGGCAGTCACCATCAATCATAGGGGGGGCGGGGGAGGGGAGTGTGGCCAGACCTGGTCTCCCAGGATGAAGGCCCCAGCTGGGCAGGCGGGAAGGTGGGAAGCAATCTCTCTTGCAGGTATGGGCAGTACAGGGTAACTCGGGAGGAAAAATCCCCCCCAGCGCAAAAGGGGACTCCCCAGGACCACTCTGGGGTGAGCACAGGCAGCTTCCTGACCCCAAGGGAAGACAGGAAAAGTACTGGCTAGGGGGGAGGGGAGACCTAAAAGCAGAGATAAAACCTCAAACTGAAGAACACCCCGCCACCCCACCCCGACTCAGGGCCCTGGCTCCTCCACACCCCCTACCATCACCTCCTGCCTCCTGCTCCCACCGACCCAACTCCCCCACAGCTTGCCCACCTCTTCTTCAGTGCTTTGTCTCCAAAGAAGTGGCTGAAGATGAAGTCCTCAAAGTCATCCACCTCATCATCATCACCTGTCTGTCTCACTGCCACCTCCTCCAGGCTGTCCTCCAAGGCATCTACAAAGTCCCGGAAGCGGAGGCGGTCGTGGCGGAAGATACCATCCTCACCAAAGTAAGCAGGAGAAAGGGGTAGCTCCTCGGTCAGTTGCCTGGCCCAGGGCAGCCGCGCCAGGTACGTCCTCAGCAGAGAGGCCAGCTCCTGTTGCCGCACAGGGGCCAGCTCTATGCCAAAGGCCAGGCCCTCCTGACGGGCACACTCGTGCACACCCGAGCAGCCCTGGGGTGCCTGGTACTTGTGCCTCAACAGCTCTGCCCAGAGTGGCAGGGGGTCATGCCTGTCTTTAGCCCCCTCCTTCCACTGAGGGTGTTTCTGCCTTTCTCTTGAGGAGTGGGGGCTCCCACTTTTCCTGGGGGCCTCCTTAGAACGCTGTTGTTTGCCGTCCTTCTTGCTGGCCCACTCCTCCACCCATGGCTTGCCCTCCTCCCACCTCCCCGCCAGCTCCCTGTCCTCCTCACCCCCCCAGCTCTTCTTTTCCCGGCCAGATTCCTCCTTCTTATGTTTCCAGTGGTCAGTCTTCCGGTCCCTCTGCCCATCCCACCACTTTTCCTTTCCGCTCCACTCCCTGGAACTCTGGAAGTGAGGCTCCTGATGCCAGGCCTCTGAGGCATTGGCAGGGACCCCAGGGCGCTGGCCCCAGTTCTCCATGCCCTGCAGCTTCTGGGCCAACCTGTGACCCACCTCAGCCAGGCCAGCATGGGCTGGGTACCCTCGGCCCACATCCCTCAAGCTCTGCTCCAGGTCCCGCTGCACAGACCCCAGCAGCTGCCGCTGCCTCTCCAACTCTTGCCTTAATGACTGGGCCTCAGCCTCTAGCTGTTTCTTCTGCTCCAGGAAGCCAGGGCTTGGCACCTGCCCCCTTGGGCCTTGCTCCTTGGTGACCTTGCCAGCCCGCAGGCCTCTGCCCCCATAGCGACACACCCCATCTGTGCCCCGGTCACAGTCAGCCTCCAGGCCCTGGAGCTGGGCCCGCAGCTGCTGCAGCTCTAACTCCAGGGCCCGCTGGGAGGCCTCGCCCTGCTGTAGGGCCCCTCGGAGCCGGGCATTCTCCTCTTCCAGCCCTTTGGGCTGATGGATCAGGCTCTGAAGCTCTTCCTTCTGGGCCTGGAATGGGAGTAGGGATGGAGAGCACAAGGAGGAGTCAAGGACGGCCCCAGTGCCTTCTACCCTGATTCCATTCCATCATAGACTTTATGGCCTGGGAAACTCAGAGGATTTGGTTCTCATCCCCTGCCCCATCTTCACCCTTCACCAGACCCTGGGATCCCCAAATTCCATCACAGGCCTCAGCTTCTATGTCCTTTTAAAGCACACACTTCTCCAATTCACCAAAAGATAGCCAAGATGTGGTTGTCGTTGCCCAGTTTCCACCTCCCATACCCAGAGCAGACATTACTAACTGATCCCAGCACTTCTTTCCCATTGAGCTTTGGCATGTTCTTCAAATCCTTCTCCACACAATGCTCCAGGCGGACCATGCCAGTCAAGCAGAGGAGGCATGCCACGTGAAGCAGGTATGCCAGTCCTGGCCTAACCCTTAGCATGCAGGACATGAACAGAGAACTGAGAAGATGACTTCACTATAGTGGGAAAGGGAGGGGATCAAGGTGTGTGGGTAAATACAGGAAACTTCTTTTGGGGGAGGACACTAGGACAGACAAACCCCTGGCCTAGGGAGGATGTGTAGCCCACCCCCTCCCGCTTGTGCCCACCTGCAGCTGGGCCTGCAGCAGCCGGATATCCTGGTTCTCCTTGGCCAGCTTGTCCAGCAGAAGGGCCATGTTCTGCAGGCTGGGAACACTGTCAGGGGGCGCTGAGGTCTGCAGCTGCTGCTTTAGCCCATCCTAAGGGCAAAGGAGCCAGTCACCCCCGCAGCCCTGAATCTCCCCCACCAGGCCCCTCACACCATTGGAGAGTGTCACACATGCCTGCCCGTCCCCCTCAGCCTCCAGCATCTCAGTATCCGAGCCGGTATCTGGGAAGACCTGCAGGTCTGCTTCCTCCATGGGCCCTGTGGGAAAGTGAAATCCTGAAACTGGCCCCAAGGCACACAGGGCCCTCTCCTCCCCCGCCACCTCCCACCCCCCCAACACACACAGTCACCCTCCTGCCCTGGACCCGCCCTATGGCTGAGAGTCCAGCGAGGTGAAGGGTCAAGGGTCACCCTGAATAGCTGACAAGACCTATAACTGAGCAAAAAATGTACAGCCCCCAGCATCCCTACTCCTGACCCAGAGAACTGCCCCCATCAGCCTCCCTCAGGGCTGGAAGGGGACAGACACGAACCAGTCAGGGCCCGTCCTCACTCACCACTTTCAGCCTCTGAGAGACCACCTGAAATGGAGACAGAGGAGTCTGGTCAGGCCCTCAGAGGAGGGGGTGGAATGGAGTGAAAGTGCGGCAGGAGGGCAGAAGGGGCCAGAGTGGAGGCTTAAGGCCTCATCAGGAGAGGCACCACTCACCGGAGAAGAGGAGGATCCCCAGGCCCAGCAGAACCAGGGCCCCGAGGAGACACATGTTGAGGGAGATGCCCAGCTCCCTGCCCGCACCCTCACCCCCGGCCTGGTCCTCCACACCCAGGGGGGCCGCAGGCTGAGGAGTGCTGGGCTCCCGGCCCCGCCGTCTCCGCAGACCCTCCACGTCCATGTCGGTGTCGTCCTCACTGCTGGAGCAGTGGGCCTCCTCCCTGATCCAAGCTGGAGGAAGGGATGGGGACAGGGCAGTAAAGCAACGGAAGCGATGGGACATACAGAGAGACGGGAAACAGAAGCAAACACGAGAGGCCCCCAGCCCTGACCACAGAGGGGCCACGTGGAGACCCTGCCCACGTCTGCCAGGGCATCAGTGACCACCCCCGCCCAGTCTGGAGGCGGGAGACCAGTCCTTTCTTTTTTTTTGAATTTTATTTATTTTTTATACAGCAGGTTCTTATTAGTTATCTATTTTACACATATTAGTGTATATATGTCAATCCCAGTCTCCCTATTCATCACACCACCACACCGCCACCCCACTTTGCCCCCTTGGTGTCCATACGTTTGTTCTCCATGTCTGGTGGGGAGGAGACCAGTCCTTTCAATCTGCAAACTACAAGAGCAGCTTTCACCCTAAAAGTGCACTCCTTCCTCCCACACGTGCCTCACATGGAGCACCTTCCCGGCTCTGGGTTCTGCCCGAACCCTGGCCACTCCTTCCCAGTGCCTCCGCTCAGTCCCTGGCTCTTCCTGGTCATAGAGGCAGAGGTCCCCCTGGCACCATTTCTGCTTTTCTGCTCTTCTCACGGTACACACAGTCACCTGCTATCTCACCCACCCCACTGGCCTCCCCGCAGAGCAGATGAGTCCCTCATCAGTAACTCCCAACCTGGCCTCCCTGGAGCTCCAGGCGTGGACGTCTGTCTGACCGCCTCCTGGCCACTCCCACCTGGGTGTCCCTGGGGACCAAACACTCAACACATTGCCCTTCAAACTGGTTATTTCTGGTGTTCCCCCACTGCAGGGCAAGATGCCACTGCTCCCACCTAGCCAACCTCAGCCCTCCCTCTTCACCCCACACGCAGACAGTTCGACAATTTGACACCTAATCATCTCAACGTCACTCGCCTTGTATCTACCTTAGTTCAGGTCTTCCTCGGCTTTGTCAGTTGCCCCCTAAATGGCCCCAGCCCCCGGCCTCCCCCTCCACCCTGTCACCCCTCAACAGAGATGGACTCATACACTCCTCTGCCACCAGCGCTGGAAGCAGCCTCCTCAGCACAGGACAGGGGGCCCCAACCCGTTGTTGATGATGCAGCCTTGGCCTGGAATGTTCTCTTCCTCCTACCCTACCGACTAAAATCCTACTCTTTGCTCAAGGCTCCACTCAAGTGACACCTCCAGTGTGGCCCTTTCCCCAGTTGTCCCTGCCTCTCCCTTCCCCTCGACCTGTCCCGTGACTGACCACCCTCCCCCTCCTTTTTTGCGCCCCTCATAGGTCTGACTTGCATCTTGGCTCAGTCTAGTCCACCTCTTACATAGGCCATGAAGCCAACCTCCTTCCCCAGAGCTGACACATGGAAGGGACTCAGGGAATGAGAGTTGCATCTAGAGGCAAGAAAAGAGGAGGCCCCACGGCAGAGACAAAAGAGTTGACCAGACCTAGGCCCTGCCACTTACCTGCTGTGTGACTTAACCTGAGCCTCAGTGTCCCCAGGGGTGGTGGTGAGGTTTCACTGATACAATTTAAGGAGGCCACCAAGCTGCTAAGTCCTAGGGCCTGGCCCAGAGCTGTGCTCAGTAGCGATATCTACTCCCACTCCCACACCTTCTAGAAGGATAGTGACAGGGGGAGACAAGGAGAACTCTCACCTGTTTGGGGGGATGAGAGCAGGCTGTTGGGGGGACTCTGATCCTCCAGGTCCTGTGTGTCCAGTCCCAGGCCCACCGCCTCGGGGGTCTCCTCCAAGTCTCCCTGGACCTCTGTGTCTCCTGAGCCAGGGGACTCCATTCCACGATCATCACCTTCCAGGACACCCTGATGCAGACACAGCTGTGAGCAGCTCCCAGCCCTCCCCATTTCCTCCCCTTCCCCCAGTGAAGGTCCTCACCTTGGCCTCAGTCTCCTCTGGCAGAATGGGCCTGGCCTGGGAGCTCTCACTCTGGAACAGGGTCTCTGTGGCAGGAGAAAAGGCTAAGGAGAAACACCACTACCCTCCGCAACAGAATGTGCTACACGGCCCTCTGGCTCCCACAGGCCCCAACCAAGTTGGAAGGGGAAGGAGAAAGCCAGGGTAGAATGAGGGAAGGTTTTAAATTGAGATTAATGCCAGAAATAAGACCAACCAGCCTCCCTCTCCCTGAGGAAACTGGGAAACACCAGAACATGGAGGAGAGGTGGCTGCACCCCACCCTCAGTAGGGCCCTGTTACCTTCTCCATCCAAGGTCCCAGCTAATTCCTCAGCAGCTGCCTTGGAGGGGCTCCAAGGGGCCTGGGGAGCTCTCTCAGATTCTAGGTCCATCCTGGATTCAGGGCCCAGGGTCTCCACAGGCAGGTTCTGGGGGGAGGGGCAGAAGCAGAAGGGCTGCTCCAGAGGAAGGACAGCAGGACGAAACCAAGGGGTGCTCTACTGGCGTGCCTGGGACCAGCCGCACTGCTCAGGGACCTCAACCCACATCTCACAAAAATATAATACACTCAGTAGTGGGCTGCTCCAAAGTGGGGATGGGGCGGGGGTCAGCTGGCACTGCAGCATCTCAGCTCTACGCAGTGTTCGGCCATTCCCTAACCTCACTTGCTGCTCTGAGAACTTTCGGAGGCCAAGTTTCTGTTAAATGGGGAAGCACCACTGGATCAAGGCGGTGGACCACTGTACAAACCTGGTGCCCCCCACCTCCCCAGAGAAGCCGGCTAGAGCCTGGGTCTCCCTCCCCACAAGTGACCAACTCAGTTATTGGTTGGAAGGTGGGAAGATGGCAAGACAACAAAGTCCCCTGGATGCCTAAGGATCACGGTCCCGACCGCCGCAGGCTTCCTCACAGTTGCCCTCAGAACGGGCCACCCACTCTAGTTACATCTTCCAAGCTTTTCTGGCCTTTCCCCCCTCCCCACACACTCCTCTCCCAGGAGCTGACAGAAACGTGACTCACCCCAGCCACAGCCAGACTGTCTCCCAAGGTGCTCTCGGCCCGGCCGTCCAGCCACGGCCTCTCCTTTCTCTGCCTATGCCCCCTTGACAGGCCCACCGCCCGCTCATCCCATCCACGGCTCCCGCTATCCTTCCAAGAATAATTCTTGACCTTAGTATGTTTCTTTACAATTTTCAAGTCACTTTTTTCTCATGGCCCCTCCTACCAGGCAAGAATCACAACTCCCCTTTTACAGGGGAGGACAGAGAGGTGAAACGACTGGCCCAAGGTACCCCAGCTGTCAGCAAAGGCACCTCAACAGGGCGCCAGGGCTCCCGCTGGGAGCATGGTGTCCGTCCCCTCTGCCGGCCAGCCCTAGTCCATGGGTCCTGCTCCAGCATCATCCTGAGGGCAGCTCCCTCACCCCCAACTGGTCTCCTCAAGGCCACTCAAACCCGACGCCTTTAACTCAAGCTCCTCACCTTCTTCCCTCCCTGCGGTACGAACATACCAAGCCCTTGATAAACCTTCACCAGACACTCAGGCCCCCAATCCCGCTGGCCCCCTTCTCAGTGGCTTCAGGGCACAGCGGTCTACTGGGATCCCGCTCCGCCAACTACAACCTGGACTGCAGGACCTTCAAAACGCTCTCCCCCAGTTCCCGCCCAGCCCACACAGTGGCTGCACCCTCTGCCCAAGGCAGTGATGGTACTGACTCCCTCCAGCTCAGAGCCCTTCCATGATTTCCCATCAAAGAGGAGGCCTGAATGCCTGAGCCAGGCCTCTCAGGCTTCTTCTGGTGGTTCCCAGGCTCTGGCCCAACCTCACTTCAACACCGTCTGACCCATGTCTCCACCTCCTCCAACGGACCTCCTTGGTCTCCCCCAACACGGCTCTCCCATTGTTGCCTCAGAACCTTTGCTCATGCTGGTCTCCCCACCAGAATATCTTCCCTGCTCCTCACAGCTTACCCCAGCAATTTCCTTCTTTCAAGGCGTGGTCCAAGTCCCAACACCTGACTCCTGGGGCCTGATGGCCTTCTCCCTGCCACTGGAGTTCCTCTCACAGCCAGCAGGAGGTGATGCACATGATCACCAAGACCAAGGAAGGGGACAGACCCAGCAAGCAGCCCAGCCCTGCAGGAACCCCCATTCCATGTGGCTCCCAGGCCTGCTTTTCCTACCTCTGAGCCGGCAAGCACCCAGCTATTGTCCGAGTCTGGGCAGGAGGCCATAGTTGCTGAGGTCCCCAAGGCTACTGAGGCTGCCACCTGCAGAGAAAGTCTTTCTTAAGGACCCCAGCTCCCTTCAGGGGAGGCAGGATGGAGATAGCAGCCTCAACCGGGTTCCAAGGTTTAAGGGCTGGGCAGCCACTTCCACAACCAGCCTGGTTCCAGTCTTCTGACCCCAACACCTCAGCTCTTCTGGGCAGTATTTGCCTTTCAAAGCAGAACGTACCAACAGCCACAGTGAAGCCTGCCTCTGCCAGGGACCGAAAGAGCCCTTGGTAAACTGGGAAACAGAACTGACCTTGAAAGGTCAGAGAAGCATAGGGCTGGAAGGGCTTTGGGAAAAATCCAGGCCAACTCTCTCATGTTATAGTCAGGGAAAATGAAGGGAAATTAAGGCCAAAAAATTGGCTGACATGACTTGCCAACGATGAACAGCTAAAAAGAGTGAGGAACAACCCAGCCCTCCCTTCACCTCCCCCATAATCACCACCTTCTTCCCCAGAGCCTAGAAAAGAAGACTCAATGGCCTCCTTCACCCCCAAGTCACCCACCCATCACCCACCATAAGTCCTTTCTGTGGTCTAGTTCAGGGGTCTTGTACACTGGCTGCACAATGGAATCACCTAAGGTTCTGATACAACTGTGTTCAAGGGTCAGGCTCAGGGAAGGATTTTTTTTTTAATCTCCCAAATGATTCTCATTTGCAGCCAGGATTGAGAACTGGCATAGCTTAGATCCACCTCAATGTACCTTTAGTAAATCTCTTTGTCACTCTCACTCTCCGTTCTAAGTTGTTTCCCTTCTTAGTAAACTTCAGAATTTCATCTTAGGGAACTTGAAGGTGACTGGCAAAAGGGATTTATGGCAGCTATCATGTATAAAGCAGTTTACAGTTTGCAAAACATGGACAAAAATCAGGGTTGTGGTCCTAACCCCTGCTAATCTGCTCTGACTTGGCCGGGTGGGCGTGGGAAGTTACTCCAGCTTCCAAAGCCTGACACAAGGCAGGATAAGAAGAGAAGGACCTACCCCTCCATCCATGGCCTAGACTATTCCCCCAGGCTGGCAATTGGGACCTGGCATAAAGGTGGAGGGATAGAGGAGCTGACCCCCTCGAATCTGGGATTGTGATCCTTTAGAGGAGACTACACGACTGCTTGTTGACGGACTAGAAAGGTGGCAAGTGGAAAAGGACTCTGAAAGGAAACCCTGGGAAAAGGAAGTGAGGCTGGGGTAGAAGTGTGGCAGTTCTACCTTGGGAAACCACCACAATTCCCCCTTCTGTTTGAGCTAGTGTGAGTCCTACATGGTGCCCTAAAAACCTCCTGTGGCCCTTGCCAATCAAGATCCAAGCCCAGGACAGATGAAGGACCCCTCACAGCATCCCCCAATACCCATGCCTCCCAGACACATGCACCCATCCCACAAGGAGACAGGAGAATGGCTGCAGTGACTTCCCCACACCACGTCCAACAGGACACCCCTGGCCGGTTTCTACAGGCATCCACAGAACCATCACTGTGCTGCCTTCTGGTCTCAGGCCCCAACCCCGCCATTCTGTCACCATCTCCCCATCCCCAGTTGCTGCGTGTGACTCTTAACAGGTGGTGGCAGGAAGGAAGTAGCAGCAGCTTGGTCTGAAGTCCCTGTTTATCCCTGGCTGTGTACAGCCTGCTCAGGTCCTCCAGAACCAGGCACCATGGCAACCAGGGTGATGTCAGACACACTGTTTCCATGGAAACCAGCAACGGTATTTGGGTCAAGAAGACAAACACTTCTGAGACCCGAACAGAAGACAGTCTGTTCCAAACCCTGGTTGATATCTCTCTCTTGGTTGGGTTCACCCAGCATTGCAAAAGATCTCCCAGTTCTCCCAAGCCAGCATCTCACTGCCTTATTAGGAAGTTCCTTCTGCTGTTTAATCTCCACCCTTCCCTGCTATTTTCAGATCTCTTTCTTCTCATCAACCTCTTGGAAGAAAACCCACCTCCACCCCCTCCTCACTACTCCCTCTCTTTTCATTCAGGCAGGATTCAACAAAAACGTCCTGTAAGGACTGTCAGGGACTTGTGCTGTTTCTAAAAGACAGCTAAAGGGGGAGCTCTCCCTCTCTGTACAAAGCTGGGAAGTCTCATCCGGCTAATTTCAACCCCTCTAAGAGTTGTGCCCCCAAACCTCTAATGCAAAGGACCTAGGACTTGTCTGGGGGAACCAGAGCAAGTTTCTGTTTTGGAGACGGCCGCCCATGATCCCCCTTCCGCCGGCCCAGAAGTAACAAACAGCTCTGCAGATCCTCGGTGGGGCCCAACCCTTCAGAGTTCTGCCCTTCCTCTCCTCCATCCTTCCTCTCTTACGGAGATCTATGGCCCCTTCCCCGCTATGGCATTACCTGACCCAGCTCTTGCTTCAGTCTTCAGCTGAACTTGTTGCTGGCTCTCCAGCTTCACAGCCCCAAGAAAGGAAGGTCATGTGACTAAGGACTGGCCAATGGAAAGTCAAGTTCCCTGAGGGGGCGGAAACTTTTGGCCAATAACAGCTAAACTTGAGGGCCAGGGGTGGAGAGGGGGTACCTGCCGAGCCCCTAAACCTGGGCTTACCTCCCGGTGGGACACTGGACTTCCAGCAAACTGAATCCTGGGTCACCTTCCCTCCTTTCCCAGTGTCTAAACAATTTCTGGAGGGAAGACCCAAAACTGAAAGGCAAGGCGTGACATCTCCAGGAGAAGGAGCCAGGTTGGTTCCAGGACAGACAGAGACAGCTGCAGGATGGGGGAGGGGAGAGTGGCAAATTATGGGTTGGAAATAGCCCTCCTGCCACTCTCCTTACCCTGCTCCGGTGCAGATTAAGGATGCCGCTCTTTTTTTTTTTTAAAGGGGGCTGGGGGCGCTGAAAAGCATCCAAAATCGAAATCTGCTAGACCAAGGCAGCCCCTTCCCCCACCCCTGGAGCTATGCTCTGACCCCTAAACCGAACAACTCGGGAGTGGGAGTGCGGGCGCTAACCCCAGAAGCTCTAAAGGCAGCTGTCTCCCTGAAGCCTTGGAGCCAAAGCTCCTGCTTGGCTCCAAGCCTGGCCCAGGAACATGCTCAGAAAGGAAACTTGTTTCTCGCAGCAGGGACACAGGGGGAGAGGTGGAGCCGAGAGGCCTCCCTGCGCCCTGCGGCTTGTACCAGGGTCAGCACAGGGCCCTGAGTCTTTCTGCCATTCCCACCTCCAGGTACCCTGACGGATACATATCCTCACCCCGCAACCATCCTGACCAGCAGTGACTGCTTCATTCCAACCCTGTACACCCCAACAGTAAGGAGTCCTGGTCTGGATTTTCCAAGTCATTTTATTAACCCAACCGTACAAAACTTTCCCCACCACATCTCTGCCACCCCCGCTTCCTTCCAAAAAGCAGTGGACTGAGAGGGGGAGAGGGACTGAGCAGACACGCCTCCACCCACCCCGGCAAGAGCCATCTTACCAAATGCAGAGATGGGCGAGGCCACAAAAATAGCAACCGATAAAAGAGGGGCAAACAGAACCACAAACACAACAGAAAGCTCAGCAGTGATGGGGGGGGGCTGCCATCTCTGCTGTTCCATGGCAGGGAACACTGGAGGAGAGAGGCCCAGAGGCCTCTCCCTTCTTTCTCACAGCCTCAGAGGCTGCATGCTACACCTGGGCAGGCAAAAGAGTTCTGCAGTATACCTTTGTCTTCTCTTCACACCCTAGGGTCCCGGGAGAAGTGGGGTCGGAGGAACACCAGCTCCTCTCAGGGCCACACCCCAAGCCTGCCTTCCCCACCCCACTGAGGAATGTGTGCACAAGCTGTAAGAAAGAGACAGCAGCTGTGAGGGGCTCCTGCTCAGGCCGCTGGCCCATCTCTGGCAGGCAGTGCTTACAAAATAAAATAAAAACAAAGCCCACTGCAGGACCCTGGCTGACAGGAATGAGAACAGCTAGATCACCAGGCCAGAGAAGATATAAAGAATAGCCGGGAAAGAGAGAAACAAAAAACATCCAGGCTCTGGATTGCATTTTAGTACCATGGCAATAAGGGTCCTGCCACCTCCCCACCCACAGGCAGGGACAGGGATCCTTTCATCAGGAGAAAAAATGAGGTATAAGGGCTCTGCACCTCTTCAAGCTTTCCTTCAATCAAGCTAGGGAAGCAGGGAAGTAAGGGCGCCAAAAGTTGAAGACCAGCGCTGCGAATAATGTGCAACAGAGTGGAGAAGGTGGGGGGGGGGGGGTGCGTGTACAGCCAGAGTCCAGGCTTCCAGGACAGTCCAAACATCAAATATTCTGCTCTGTCAGACCACATACCCCAATTTTTAGCAAAAATATTGTCATTAGGGAAAAAGCACAAGAGAGTCTGAGAAAGGACCAGTGACTTTGGTATGAGGAAGATATGTCCTGACAGCATCTCTTACCAACTGTCTTGAAGCCCCAAATTACCAAGAAACTGCCATAGCCACGTACTCTCCTGCTTCTTCAAGCTATTTGGTTCTCTGAGGGGGGAGGAGTTGGGTAGGTCTTGGAGGAGGCAAGGGGAAGGTAAGAAAAGGGGAAATCTCCATTTATTCTCTAAAGCTGTTTCCCAGCACCCATGAAAGGGCTACTGCAGAGATGGGAAGAGACCCCCAACTCCTCTGGCCAGAAACCTTTAATACTGGACTCCAAAAACTAAGGCTGGGGCTGGGGGGCTAGATAGGAGCGTTAGGCACAGGTGTTGGGGGTATCCATCATCTGTAGAGGGGACACCCCTGCCCTTCAGATCTTCCTCCAGCCTCTTTTCTCTTGCAGCCACACCCCTAGGCCTCCAGATAGCCACCAAAAATGGCTCTGCTTGGCAGGGCTTTGGTTTCCTGGACCTCTGTAGATCTCAACACGTAAGTTTCCAGAAAAGTGAGCAATCCAGGCTCTTCTGCCTGCCCATCTCAGTTCCTTTTCTGCCCCATGGGGATGGGAAGCCAGTGGAAACAAGGACCAAGAGCCAGACAGGAAAACAACCACCCTGGAAGAGCAGGGAGGAATGTATGCACTTCCTGGGCACCTCGCCAGCATCACCCATCGTTAGCAGCCACCAGCTGCCCCATGCCCTCGCGGATGTAGACAGACTGGATCTCCTTGGTCTTGAGGCAGAGATCGCAGGCCCAGACAGCAGAGGCCTCAGTGGTCAGCAACCCATAGGCGCTCTCAGTCATGCCCGTGCACTCGCGGTGGAACCACTTCTGGCAGGAAGCCTCACACAGAATGGCATCTTGGTCGTCGTTCACCTCACTCCGACAGGCACCACATGGATACACCAGGCCTGGGGGAGGCTGGGGCCCTGAGCCCGCACTTGTCTTGCCAGGGGGTGCCAGGCTATTGGCATCTGGGGTGCCCCCACCCCGCCCACTGCTGTTTGGGGGGAAACTGGGCTGATTTCCATTAACAGCAGCAGCCGGGGAGCCTGAGTGGGGCTCCTGGGGAAAAGCAGTGGAAGCAGGTGGATTTAAGGGTTTCCCCCCATCCTCACCACCAGGGCCAGGAAAGCCAGGGTCTGGACCAGGGAAGGGACTTGTGTTGGGGGGCAAGCTGGGGAGGCCCTGACCAGGTCTCTGGAGAGGAGAAGGACCAAAAGGTGCCCCTGGCTGGGCAAAGCGTTGAGGGAGAGAAGGGGGGCCCAGTTCCCCTCTGGGAGGCTGTCCCATGGTGGGTGAGATCATGGGGCCAAATCCCCCCACGGGGCCTGGCATCATCTGCCCACCAGGCGGGCTAAAGTTTTGACCCAGAGGCTGGTTGAAGGGTTGGCTGGGAAAGTTCATGTTGCCTGGGGGAGGGTAGCCAGGGCCCTGTGGGGGCATGTTGAAAGCAGGGCCCATGGGGTTGGGAGGGAAAGGGGGGGGCTGTCGACGAAGAGGCTGGGGGCCTCCTCCAGCCCCAGTGCCATAGCCTGGGGGTACCTGGCCTGCCATGCCCCCCTGTACACGGAAGCCCCCAAAGGGGACAGGACTGCCCAGGAATGGAGGGGCTGCGCCCCCCACCTTAGGGGCTCCGAAGTCATCCTCAAAAGGGTTGGATGCGACCAGGTGATCGACCATGGGAGTCGGGGGTGGCGCAAACTCCGTCAGATGTGAGTATGCAGGGCCCTGGGGGGAAAAGAGGGGGGAAAGGGGGTCATGGAGGGAAAGAGGGTCATGGAGGGAGACGGAGAGCTAAACCAAGAGAGCATCAGAAACACAATACACATTTTTGGAGGCTGGTACTGGCCAGCTCAGAACTTAAATCAAGATGGACCTTAGAATGCAAGAAAAAAACTGAGAGTGGAGAGCAGAACCAGCATAGTGCAGTAACTGGGTTTTGAAAACAGGCAAAACTATGCTGGAATCCTAGCTCTGACACTGAGTAACTTCAAGGCCCTGGCACAGGCATTTAACTTTTTTAAGCCTCAGATTCCTCATCTGTAAAATAGTGACAGTGCCCATCTCCCCAAACTGTTAAAAGCATTTTAGCACAATCCCTGACACTTAGAAAAGGTTCAGTAAGTGGTAGCTGTTATCATCATGTGGGAAACAGGACAGCACAAACAGGGGAGAGAATGATTCTAATCCTGACTGATAAGACCTTTGGTCAAACCATCTCATCCCCACCCCTATCCCTAAACTCTGTTATGAAGTTGAAGGAAAGGACCAGAAACAGAACAAGAAAGACAACTTTCTCTTCTCCCCGCGGTTTACGCAAAGTAGAGACATTGGAGGGGCAGAGCAGAGCACCCAAAGGGGCTACTAGGAATTACCCCCACCACCAACCACCATTCACCTGAGTATTTGACTTCCTTCGCTTCTTTTCTGGGCTCTTCATTTGCAAACCTGGAAAAGTAGTAAAACGCAGACACAAGTTTCCCTGAAGTTTCCCCAACCTCCTCTCTCGCAGCCATGATATAAGGAACTCTTCTAACTTCATTATACTCTTGTTTATTTACTTCACAGATACTAACAATGGTACACTTTGAAAAATAAATTGGACGCTACACTCTCAGCTGCCTCTTCCTTCAAATGAGACGCCCCATCTCTTGATACCCTCAGACTCCCAAGTGGCTCCTGAACTCCAGGTGCCCCAAACTCTAGGATCCGCAATCTGTGAACCCCTGCCCGCAACCCCTGGAGGGCTTCACCCACCCATCCTTTTCACCTGAGCCTCCCCTCCCTTCAGAGCCCTCAGCCAGAGGATCACCACCTCCCCCGCCCGCCAGCCCTCCCTCCGAGGTCCCCGACTTCTCGGCCTCGCCAGCCCCAGGCCCCCCTCAGCGCTCTCACCGGCCTTGCCCTGCTTCCTCCCGGTGCTGGGTGGCGCAGGGGGCGGTGCGGGGCCGCCACCTCCCTCCAGCTTGTCCGGTGGGGAGGGCGCCGAGGCGGCCATGGAGTGGGGAACCGGGGTCAGCGGCGGCGGGGGACGGACGCGCCCTGGGGTTGCACCATGGCCCGGAAGAGAAGGCTGGGGCGGCGCAGGCCCCCGCGCGGCAGCAAGCCGGAGGTGCGGCGAGGCGGGGTCGGCGAGCCCGGGGTCCAACTGCACTCTCGCCCAGCCTCACCGCCCGCCCGCGGCCGCAGCCACAGGAACCGGAACTCGGCGTGGCAGCCACCACTGCGCACGGCAAGGAGGGGGAGCGAGGCCCGGGTCACACCCTCCCCCGAGCGCCGGGCGGGCAGGGCGGTACCAAGGCACGACGCTGGGGCGGGGGCTGTCCCAAGCCCGGGAGCGCCGCGTGCCCGCTCACTAGGGCAGGCGGCGGCCGTGGGCTCTGCGGCTGGGCCGTACCATCCCCCGCCGGGGGGCCGCCGCAGAGGTGCGCGAGGGCGTGAGCGCGCGCCTGGGAAGCCCGAGCCGCCTGGGGTTCGGCCGGCCGCGATCCCACTCCGCCGCCGCTGCCCCAGCCGCAGACACGAACATCTCCTTGGATGATGGCCCCGCCCTCCCCACCCCGCCGCGCCCTCCCGGCGCCCCTTCTCCGCGAGGAGGTGCGACCCGAGCGAGGCCAGGTGGACCCGGCCACACCGCGCCCCGAAGCGGCCTCGGCCTCCTGCCGCGGGGGGCCCACAGCCAAGAATAGGCAGCGACAGGGACCTGGAGGCCGAGGTAGAAGAAATATGGACTTTAATGAAGATTCTTTCCCTTTGGTATAAGTGAGACCCGTGAAAACATCCAAACAAAAAGAACAGAAGAAAAAGGGAGGTGAGGATTTAGATAGTCCACACTCCCTTAACCACAAGGCCTAATGACAGAGCAGGGCCGGCTCCTCTGTCGTTGCGGCAGGACCCGGCCTGGAGAAGGGATTCAATAACTGCAGGTTTTAAGTGTCCCCAAGCCCCCGCCCCCGCCCGCCCCCTTGTGAAACTAACATCCATTCAGCCAAACTTCTGCCTCCCAGCCTCGCGGTGGGAGGTCCAAGTTTCTCTAGTCCTAGCTCACACACGGCCTCTAGTCTCTCAGAAAAGATAACGCTACCGGCAAAGGCCAGGGTGAGGAAAATGCCAATAGTTGTAAAAGGGCTTTGAAAAGTCAAAAAGGTGATGTATAAATCGATTATCATTTTGTGCTCAGGAATAAGCTATGGAAAACAAATTAGTAAAGTAAATCTACAGCCCTAAAATATATGCATATAAAATAAAAAATAAACGCAGTTCCAAATCTACCGATGGTATCTGGGGATTGTCTACTGCTTTAGAGTCTCAGTGCCCCTGTTCCCACCTCCACAAAATCCACCTAGGATGACACTTCAGTCATCCCCCCAGCAGGGGGAGGCAGGGCAGAGGCTACAGGAGGAAGGGCTGTACTTTGGCTCTAGAGTATAACATGCATGCAACATGGAGGGGGGGGGGGGAATGGACTTGCCAAATGTATATATAGACCCCCTGGGGTGAGGGGCCCCACCCAAGAGGCACTGAGCAAGAAGCGGGTCCATCACCCCACTGGCTGGGAGGGGGCTCTGAGGCAATCTCTAAGGGCTGCATATCCCGGTGGAGAGGGGACAGCTGCCACTCCTGCCTCTGTTCACCCAACCTAAACGAGAGGGGGTACTGAGCAAGGAGAGGACGGGGTCCCAGAAGCCAAGGTGTCAGCACCCCCATGCTTGACTTCAGGGGCCCAAGAACTCTTTGCATAAAATATCTTCAGACCTAGCAGATGGTCAAAGGCACAAAGTTTAAACGCTGGGAGGGAGGGTTGTTGAGAGGGGTCTGGGGTACCCTGAGCCCAGGGGTAGACTAAGGGTGTGATTCATTCCCCTTCCCTGGAAGGGTGATTGCTCCACTGGGCCTATCACCACAGGACATTTTTCATTACAAGGAGGCATACTGCCCAGGCCTCCAGCACCCACCTTGGGGAAGGGGTATCAAGTTGGCACAGGAAAGGCCCAGGGAAGGGGGCCACTCTGTACATTAATACTTTGGTGAGGTTTGGGGAGAAGCAGGACTCTACCCCTGGCTCCTGACTCAAACCCTCTCACTCAGCTGGATGCTGAACCCAATGTCCACACTACCCCCATCCCTACACAAGGCCAAGCCCACAGAACACTCCCAAGTGAGGTCCTAAGAATTGGGCAATACGGTGGAAGGGGTCGCAGGGCATCTTCTAGGAGACAGCACTGGGACAGATCACAGTTTCCGCTCCACAGGTTGCTGGAGACACAGTTCGCTGCCCGCAGAGATGATGGGCAAGTGATTGTCCATGTGGTAGCTGATGAGGTGACTGACACTCTCAAAGCGGTGATCCTTTGTCCGAACCTGGGAAGTGGGAAGGGAGAAGGTCAATTCAGGTGAAGAGTCAAATAAGACCTCAGTCCCCAAAGCTGAGGAAGCTGGAATATTCAAGAGGGTTGAGGCAGGAGAAAAAGATGGCAGAAGAGGGAGGGCCGTCAGTCCTGATCATTGAGGCTTCTCTAGAAAGAGAAGCTGGAGATAGCCGTGGGAATGGGCAGGTCAGTGAACTGGGAAAAGGCAGAGGGGACATCAGCCCAGAAATCATGAGGCTGAGGGATAGCTACTCCTCCCCTGACCTGGAAGAAGGTGGTATGTCTCAGAAGAGGATATACAGTACAAAAAAGACATGCAAAGGAGGCTGAGGTTGCTGTAGAAAAAAGACCAAAGTTATGAGGGGCAGAGGGACAGTGCAGACAGGAGACGGAGCGCTGGTCTGAGCCCTGAGTCTGGAGAAGCTGGGGAGGCCCCTGGCTCCTCTTGAGAGAGGAGATTTGGGGTGCCTAGCCTCTAACCATCTGACATTGAGCATCACAACCTCTTAAGGATGGTTTTCTCATTTGTGAAAAGAGGGACTCAGGTGACATGAGCACCTTCCAGCACTCGTGGGCATAAAATTTGGGGATGTGAGAAGGGAAAGAACCCTAAGCCACTAGAGGGGGAATGCCAGGCACCTTGAGAGCAGGGGAGGCTCAGATAGAGGTGCCCAGCAGGTGAAGTCTAGGAAGCAGTGAGGCAGGAACAGGGCTGCACAGGAGGGTACTGCACCTTCCTTGCTGCCTCACCCACCCTTACCCCTGCGATACTCACCACACCCTCAGGGTCCACCAGTAGCAGGTGCTTGGGCTGCCCACTCTGCAGGCCAGTGAGCACATACTGGCCAGGAGTGGTCGTGCTTTCCCGCACCAGGAAGTCCCCGTTGAGCTGTAGCAGTGCCTCGGCCTCCCGCCGGCTCAGCTTCCCGTGAAACCAGGGCTCCCCTCGGAGCTGCTCAGCCATGGCCACCAACTGGGGAGGTGGAGGCACCCGCAGGGCATCTTCAAAGGGCTCTGGGGGTACAGAGAGAGGGCTAGAAGAGGCAGCTGGCACAAAACATGCTCAAGAGCCAGACCCTCAGGGAGGGGAGGCCAGGAAGAAAAGAGGAGGAACCAAGTGGGAAGACGCAGATGCAGGAAGGAGAGGGGCACACTCACTCATGTCAAAGAGGTCTCGGGGCGCGCTGCCATTGATGGCAGGATTGGGGGACCCGGCCCCACCGCCTGCTTGCCGTGCCTTGTCTAGGTTCTGGACATTGACATAGGAGGGATCATCAAAGAGCTCTCTGCCTGCTGAGGAAAGGGAGGCTTTACAGTGATCCCCGCCCTGCTTCTCACACCCCACTCTGCCCCTCTCAGCTCCCTTCATACCTGGGCAGGGTGGCGGGGGCAGCATCTGTTTGCGGGCTTCTGGGTCTCCTCCAACAGGCTGCCCCACTGGCTGAAGGGACAAAAATAGGGTGAGACCAGAGGCCCTAACCAGACGTTGCCATCCTGGGCCCAGCCCACCTCCATGCAAGCAACTTACCAGTGTGGCTCCCAGGTGGCTAGGGGTCTGGGCACTGGGTGGAGTGGGTCGAGCAGCCCCCGGGGGGACTCCTTCCCGAAGCCTCATGTCCACCACCCCCCCAAGAGGGGGCTCCTTCCCAGGGAAGTCATTATAGTACTGATGGTCAGGTGGCTCTTCTTCCTCCTCATCCCAAGCTGAGCCATCAAAGCCAGCCATCCTGGGAGGGACAGGAGGAAGAGAAGAGCATGGGTAAGAGGATGGAGAACAGACAGAACAGCGGTCACGTACTGGGCATTCCCCGAGGGGTAGGCCTGAGGCTGGGTGTTTCATATATATAATCATTTCATCCTCCTGGCAACCCTATAAGGTAGGTATTATTTCCTTCTTCGATTTTATACATGAGGAAAATGAGGGTCAGGGGTAAAAGGATTTAGGTCTCACAACTAAAAGGTGGTGGAGCCGAGATGTGAATTCAGATTTGTCTTTAAAGTCATGCCCTTGATCATTATGCTGTCTCCCAAGAGGGAGGGGGAGCAGTAAGTACCGGGGAGGGGGGTGCTCCAGAATAGTTTAACCTCCTCTAAATACTCAATACTACTGGTCTGAGGTGGGAAAGGTAAGGATCTCAGGAAAGAGCCATCCTCCCTCACCCAAATTCTTGACGGCTTCTAGAGGCAAGAAAATGAAAAACTAAACTGAATATGGAGAAATGCACAAAAGGACAGACCAGCAATGAGATGGCTGGGAAAAGAAAAGCCCATCTAGCCAGGGAAGAGCTGCAGCGTGGACGTCCTGGACTACAGCTCCACCACGGGCACACGACAGGAAGAGGTGGCCCTGCAGCAGGCAGGGCCTCAAAAGACCTTCCTGATGGCCACAGGAAACTTAAGAATAGCAGGAAGTGGGAAGCAGGGGCGCACAGGTTATTTCCTTCCGTGCACCTCTCTGAGCTCAAGTGTGGGAAGAGCAAACCTACTTTTCCAATTCCGGTCTGGGGCCCAAGAGCTGGCCGCCCCCCAACCCTGGCCCACTCACCTGTCATGGGGGGTGACCAGCTTGGGCGGGTTCCTGAGGTATTGTTTGAAACGCAACTCGAAGGCCTGGCCAATGGTGCTGATGACGTCCTGAGCAAGCCCTTCGGGACACTCCAGGATGTGGCAGGCTGGGGGCACAGCAGAGGCCGTCAGGGAGCTCGGGAGCAGCGTGGCCAGAAGGAGGCGCAGACAGGGGCCCTTGTCGTCTGTCCTCCACAGCCAGGAGCCGCCGGGTCCTGCTCACCTACCTCTCGGACAGCTGGCCCCACCCAGTGCCCCCCACCACGCCTCACCTCTCTGATTCACCGGGTCTTTGGCAACATAGGCGACATACTCGGCTGTGTCCTGGGGTAGACAGAGTCAGAGGAAGCCAGTTAGCTACAATTCATAGCCCCACCTCACTCCTGACCCCTCAAACCCAGTCCTCTTCAGATGTCACCTCAATCCTAGCAGGCTCTATTCTCTAGCCAGTGTCTTCCCAACCCCTAGCCCCGTACTCTTCTCCCACCACCCGTGCTCCATTCCCCAACTCACCGGGTCCCCGCCGGACGCAAACGAGATGGACTGCATGTGGTGGTTGGCGATGATCTGAGGGTTAGGGCAGGCAATGGAGAAGGAAGGGAATGACGTGTGTCAGGCAGCCTCAGGGCCCACTGGGCGCCCCCCACCATTGGCCCAGACCTGGGGTCCCAGTCTCATCCTTTTGGCTTCTCAACCCATGTCCTCCTAATCTCCTCCTTCCCTATCGTCCTGCTGCTCCCAAGCCTTCTGTCCGAGTTTCTTGCCCTCATAACCGGGTCCTCACTTAGCCCTCCCATCAATGTTTCTGGTCCCGCCGCCCTACTCCACCAACCTGTTTGCAGTCTGCAGCCATGAGGTTGAGGCTGCTGGTGGAGACGGTGAGAGTGATTGGCATTCCAGCAAATTTCAGGTTACTCCTCCCCAGGATGGAGCTGAGTGGACGGCTACAGGGCTAGGGAAGGGCCCGAGGATCTCAGAAGCTGGGGGCTCCCCACACACTCCTGCCTTCTGGCCTCCTCCTCGCACGCCCCACACCAGCCTTCCCCCTGCTCCTCCACCTCTCCCGGCAGCGCCCCTAGCCCCATCGACCCCAGCTACCTTTCTCCTCCTTGTTGCCCCCTTAGCACCCGGCACAGCGTCACACACCAGACTGATGGCCTCCCTGGGGAAAGAGGGGTACTCAGACCCACGGCCTGCCTCCCACCCGGCTGGAGCAGCCACAAGGCTGGGGGAGGGGAAGGCCAGGCCAGACTCCAGGGGCACTCCAGGCTCTTTGTCGTGGCGGATTGAATTAAGGGCCTTTAATATTTGATGACACTGAGAGGCCGCTTCCTGGCTGATTGGGTTAGAGCCTCAGTGGGTCTGGGCCCACCCCCTTCCAGCTACCAAATGTCCCATCCCCTTCCCAAAGGCAGCGGCAACCTTCCACCTACCCCCATTTTCCACTCAAGCTCCAGCTGCCAGCTGCCTCTGCCACCTCCCCCACAACCCCCCAGGCTGCATAAGCAAGAGGGAGCCAGGTCAGGGTTGCTTCTCTTCACTGAGACTTCGACTCCCTTCCGTAACTTTCTCTCAATCCCCTTCACCACCCAAAGATGAGCCATCACTAGTGCCACTGCCAAGTGACCCACTCCCCCCTCCCCTCACAAATCCCAGGACCCCCACACTCCGCCCCCCGCCCCACCAACCTGGTGACCTGAGTCCGGGTGTTGAAGTCCAGGGCGCGCATTGACTGCAGGACCTCCACACAGCCCATGTACTGAGGGGAGTGACGGGAGGAGAACAGTCAGCTGCCTCCCCCCACCTCTTCACAAAGAGCCCCAGGACTCTTCCCTGCTTGTTCCGTAAGGTTGCAGAAGTTCTGCCCACTGCCCGTGGATACATCCCATGGCATGCAGAACAACAGGGTGAGGAGAGAAGGCAAGCTTGGGGGACCTCATGCATGTGGGAAGAGAATTCGGAGGGGAGTGACAGGCACTGGGTGGGATGGAGTGACATCTCCAGAAAGGGGGAGGAGACTGGAGGGGACAGTCAAGAGTCACTCATTCCAACACTTACTAAGGGCTCGTGCTGGCCTTTGTGCTAAGCATGGCAGGGTGGGGGTGGGGGAGTCACAAGAAGGAAGGGGCCCCAGACAGAGCTGGAAGGGAAGGGGCGAAAGAATCAGAGAAGGGGCAAGAAAGGTTTAAGAAACAGGACACAGAAACCAAGGTAGTTGCTGGGGAAGAGCAGGAAAAAAAAGACTAGTGAGCAGAGGAACTGGAGGGAGTGGGAGGGAGGATGTTCACTCACCCGAACCAAGTAGGAAACCCCGGGTCCCATGACTTTGTCGTTGGGATGCAGCCAGCCCCGCGTGGGCTTATTGACAAAGCTCCCGTGGCGGGTCCACTCCTCGCCCCCCAGCTGGCCCCCTTCCACCCGAGTCCTGCGCCCGCCGCCTCCACTCAGCTTGTTCATGTCCTGGAGGAGGGGCAGGGGGCCTGAGTCCGGCATGGCTGCCCCTACGATCCCCTCCCCATCCTCGGCTGCCCTTCCTGGCTCCCCCTTCGGCCCCAGGCGCCCCCCAGCCGGGTTGGCCAGCTTCAGGTTGCTCATCCGGGGGAAGAAGGAGCACAGGGTAGTGGGACTATCGTCCCCAGGCAGAGGTGGCAGCATGGGCCCCAGAGACGAGGCTGATGGGGAAGGCAGCTCCTCCGGTGGGGTGGACCCTGAAGCTCCCTCCTCCAGCGATGACAGAGACTCATTCCGAAGTGGGTTGTACTTGGGCTTGGGGGGCAGGAGATCCATGGCTGGAGTGAGAGGAAGGCTGCTGCCCAGCCTGGCCCCCCTGCCAGTCAGGGCAAGGGGGCCAGGCAGGGGGCATCCCAGGCCCTTAGCCTGATTGGACCTCTCTGGCCCAGGGATCTCAAGGGTCCTTGGGAGGGAGAGGGACAAGTGGCTCTGGCTCCCCAGGCTCAGACCCAGAGAGTTTCAGGCCCCATCCCCGCCCAGCGTGGAGCCTCTTCTCTAGCTGTGAGGAGAACAGGCTGGACCTAGAGCTGACTGGCTCCTCCCCAGGGGCGGGGAGCTAAGGGGAGAGACCAATCCCGAGGACAGTGCTGACTCACAGGCTCTGAGAGGAGACGCTGCGGGCGCGCCCTTCCAACCTCTCCCGCCCCTACCTCCTGATCCAGGCCTCTCCCCTGCAGCTGACCCGCGCTTGTTTCTCCCTCCCCTGCCCCACCAAGAGGCCTGAGCCAGGCCAGTCCTGAGCAACAGGAGACGCCCACTGACCAGCATCCCACCGGCATCCGCATCGGCAACCCCGGGCCTGGGTCACATACACAGTGACAATGATGTCCCAGCCCCCCAAGGGTCACCTCCCCTGGGGGTTAAGGAGCCCCCCCCCCCCCCCCCCACCGCCCCACACCGCCCCACACCGCCCCGGTACAAACAACAAGTAATCTGGAAAGGAATAAAGTGGGAGTAGGAGGGAAGGATGGAGGAGTGAGAAGGAAAGGAGGGTGGCAAGAGGAGGTCTGCATCAATCCAAACCAGACATGGGCAGGCCAAAGGGAGCAGGAAACTAAGGGAGGGCAGCGGGGAGAATGAGGGAGGAAACAGAGGCAGCTGGAGGTGGGAAAGGGAGGGGATTCCTGAGCTCAGCAATTCCCTTCCTGTCCTAGGTGAACACTCAAACTCCCTCCTCCTCCAGCCCCCGGCCACCCCCGGCGACCTCCCACCACTATCACACGTGGGGTGGCAGCCCCAGGGAGCCTGGGCCATTAGCATCCTCTGCTTCCACAGCTGTGGAGGGAGCTAAAGAAATGGGAAAAGGAAGGACTTGGTCCCAGTGGATGCAGGGAGGGGCCAAGAGGAAGGGCAAAGCTGGTTAAGTAAGGGAAATAAAGTCCAACCTGGGTGGTGCATCAGGGAGCCACCAGGCAGGAGCTGGAGCAGAGGACAGGCTGGTGGAGGCTTGTTCTCCATGCATGGCGCCTACCATGCCAAGGAGCAGCGGCCCATGCCAAGCACTCTTCTGTCCCCCTTTCCACAGCGAAGCAAGCTGTCAAGGGTAGAAGGGGTGGGGGCGGCCAGGGCATTGACACTAAGGTCAGCTCCCTGGACCTGCGGGTAAGCTCATACCCCTCCTCTTGCAGTAGTGACTGGGAAGGGTGCAGGTGTCCACCACAGAGCATGATGCCCCTCACACCAGAGGCAGAGTCTGGCTGGAGGAAATGGGAGAGTGCAACAGTTCTCCAAGAGAAGTGGGGGCTACAGGCCATGAAGGGACAGAGCAGGCAGAAGACAAATCTGCTAAGGAGAAAGGGGTGCCAGGAGAAGGACTGAGGATGGACACAGGGAACAGTCCCAAACCCATTCCTTCCGCCCACAGCTTCCTTCCACAGCTCTGCTCAAGGGGGCCATAAAGGAAGTTGGAAAGTGACCAAAAAAAGTAGTTGTAAAAGATACATATAACCCCCCAGGATCACCCCAGAATTACCTATCCTTAAATTTACTTCAGAATATAAAAAGATGCAAATTATCATATGATTATAGCAATGAACAACACTAGCACTTAAAACATGTTAGATACTGTGCTTATCACCTCCCACTTAGTCCTCCAAGGAGAACTTTGCCACTCCATGCACCACTCCCGAGAAGAAATTCTATCACTCTGTTTCCTAAAGACTCAGCGCCCAGGCATAGAGAGAATGAGGAAAGTATTCTGCCAAAGCCTCACACCCCCATCACACACAAACACACACCAGGATGTCCTCATCTTTAGAGGTGGGCATTCTGTGGGTGCCTGCAGGATCCAGAAGCAGGGAATGACCAACAGGTGTGAGCATTGTTAGAAAAGAAAGAGGAAGGAGAGCTTTTTAAATTTATGTAGGAAGAAAGGAGATTGCTACTGGGAATCCGGGTGACTGGAAGAAGCTGCGTGTGGCTTCTCAGCCCAGGGAGGAGGAGGAGGCAAGAGCGGCGGAAAGTAGCAGGAAATGGCGAAAGCTCAGGAATGTTTCCAGAAGGGAAGGCTGGGCAAGCGGGACCAGAAGGAATGCCCAGACTAGAACTCCGGTTAGGGGGAGGGGAAGAGCCAGAGAAGTGGTGGGGCCTGAGGAGTCCCTTAAAAAAAAAATCAAACAGCAAAAAGGACACTATTACCTACACCCACTCCAAGCCACCGTTTTCTAGTGTGGAAAATTTTCTCTCCTGTCACACCCACATGTCACACACCAACAAATCCATGGCCCTACCCAGCTCCCGACGCACAGGTATGAGACAAACAGCTGTTTCTGGGGTGGAGTCGGTCCTGGAAGTGGGGCTGGGAATCTATGAGCGAGTCTCCCTCCCACTCTCGTACCAAACCCCAAGTCCAGCCCCCTTCAAGTAGGTCCACCCTTGGAAGGGGGTAAGGGAGAGGAAAAGGGCTGCCTCTAATCTCTTACTCCTCAGAGCCAGAGATGTGAACTTCTGACTTCCTACCCAGTGGAGCATGAGAGCTCAGGAAAACTGAGCCAAAGGCCCCAAAGAGAAAAAGAACAAGGAAATGTTAAGCAGGTGAAGTTTCTGGGATTGAAGACAAAGCTTCTGAGGCGATGACCCGGGTCCTACAGGGATAACGCTTCTGAGGGGGCGTGGCCCTCTCAAGACGCGAGCATCAGAGAGACTCCCAGGAGGCAAGGCTTCTGGACAATCAGACGTGGATTAAAGAAAGGGCGGGGCTTCTAGAGGGGAGGAACCCCTAGAGAGGCGTGGCTTCTTGAATTCGAATAGTTCTTTGAGGGGCAGGGCTCTGCCCTTTTGGAAGATAGGCTTTTTGATAGACAGGAGTTGGCGGAGAATCGTCGCTAGGAGGCGGAGTTTCGGGGAATTGGAAGGACTAACGTAGGGTTTCTAGTAGTAGGGCCTGGAAGCATGTCTGGGGGTGGGCCTTCCAGGAAAGTCGGGCGACAGAGTGGGGTCGGGGACAATAAATAGAAAACAAGTCGGGGTTCGGGGAGCCCCCTGAGGTTGGGAGGTGGGACTTCCGGGGAGGGGGTCGCAGGGGCGGGGCTTATAAGTGAAGACCGGAAGTAGGGTCCCGGGAGAGGGGTTCCGGGGAGGAGGAGTGGGTCACCTAAGGAGAAAAAAAGTCCCAACTCACCAGGGCTTCATGGAGTCTCCGCACCGCACCGCGGGCCGATTTGGTTCCGGATCACGCCACTGCCTTCTTAGGTCGCCGCTCCAACTTTCTCCCCGGGCCCGGCCTCCCTGGAGAAACTTTATTGCACTCACTTCCGGCCTCACTAACCCCTGACCCTCTACCTCATCGTCCCTCCTTCACCCATCCCACTTTCCCGTGTCAGCCAATGGCAGCATGATAACGCGCACAGGAGCCGTGATAGCCAATAAGAGGCCTATTTTTGACCTACGTTTGTTCTTGAGCAACGTAAGCAGTGCACTCCAATAAGGACTCAAGGAGAAGCAAATCTAAGCCAATCGGAGGCTTGAAGGTGAGGTTGTCCCGCCTTCCGCCTGAAGGACCAATAGAAAGCGCGGGCGGTGTGTTTGAAAGCGAGGCCAAAGAGGGTGGGAGCGCGTGCTGCTGGAAGTTGTTTGGAGGTTGGCGGTGTGGGGCTGACGGTCCTCAGGCAGGGTGATTATGTCGCACAAGCAGATTTACTATTCGGACAAATACGACGACGAGGAGTTCGAGTACCGGTTAGTGCCGGCGCGGGGGCAATAACAAGATCGTGAGCTTTGAAAAGTGAGGGCACGAGGAGTTAGTAACGGGGACTGAAGCTACAGAATGGCGCATGCGCGGGAGATGAAGGGAATGGGTGCGAGCAATGAGAGCGTAAGCGCATGCGCGAAGGGTAGGGGCGATCGTAAAAGAAACCCTAAAGTGGTAGAGAATTTGGAGTAAGCTCTCCTGTTGGGAGGAGGCGTGGGTGGACGTGGTTAGAGTATTAGAGTGCCGACCACCCTCAGCTTTGCGGGTTTCTGGATCATTCTCTCACCTTTACTGAGAAAGTTGAACTTGCCTTCTTGAGACTACTTGTATCGTGGCAACACCGTAGAGCCTCCTGGGAGAAGGTGGCAAAGGCGGATCCCGAATTTTCCTCGAGGCTTCAAAGTGAGGGGAGTTCTGAGAGAGCCTGAGTGTTGCTTATTAATTCATGGAAAGGGGGCGTGGTTGTCTGGCCTGTTTTAGGAAGTGGGCTTCGAAGAATTGGAGTGGAATAAAACTGGCCAGGAGCATTGAGAAAAGACTTAATATAGACCTAATAGATTCCCGTCAAATATTTGAAGGGCATCTACTTAGGAAACAGTTATGGAGTGCTTATAGGTTTCAGGTGTTCTACTAAAGTGCAAGGATAAGCCATGGTCTGTGCTTTCAACAAACCTAAAAATCTGTGGAAGTAATGACAGCAGAAAGAAGGTGATAATTGGTATGATAGAACCATGTACAGATTGTGGTGGGAGCACGTACGACTTGCCAGGCATGGTGAAGAAAGGACTCCCTATAGTTTGCATTTGATAAACCCTAAATCCATAATTCTAGATTAGAAAATTAGGGAAGACAAAGAATTCTACAAATATTGGCATTCGACCAATCTATATGAAGCGTAATACTTAAAACAACTGGAAGCTTGCTTTCCTTGTGTTTCTTCAGCCTAGTGCAGGGCTCTGGGCCTTCTGGAGAACTCAGTGTCTGCTGACAAACACACTATTTGTATTTTTATGCCAAATCCTTGGGAAAGGCCCCCCGGCCCTGTTTGGACCCAATTAACTTTTTTTTCCTCAGCTGTTTTCCTCTACATCTGAACTAGGCTAACTAAAATTAAGTGCTTATAATGTCTTTGCAGGGCTAGGGAAACATCAACTAATTTCATCCCCTGGAAGATGTAAGTCTTGGCAATGATATTTGGTTTAAGAAAAGGGTTTGTTTGTTTTTTTGGTCTAAATAGGTATGGAAGCCAATCTTTATGCCAGGGGCTTGTTAAGATGTAAGCTATTTTCAGACATTTAGACTAGAATT